AATTATAAATTTTAGGCTAACAAAATTGACAAAATAATCAATGAATTGACTCTTCGATATGCTGACGTTTTGAAAGAGGTAAAAAATATATTAATACTAAAAAGTAAATGAAGCAAATTATGTTAAATGACTATTCATGTACAGATTTATCAGTTCAATTTGCAAGCAATGCATCATCCGTTGGAGTTTACTGGAATGGGTTTCTTCCCCTTTGGCAACAAATTTTTCATAAAGGTTTATTTTTCATCTATTTTTACTGTTACTTTATTTTTACGTGTTGTATTTTACCTACATTAGAGAAATTCATAACAATGCTTCTAAGCTTGTTAAAGTTGTTAAATATAATTTTATCTTTATAAATATAAAAATTAATTGAAACTTTATATATTTTTTCTTAGTTCTGCGTAGCAATTACAACGTTTTTGATCATCGTGATACAAATGTCGAATGCCTGAAGATTCATCTTAAAAAAGAATAATCCACCCTGCACTTCATATTAAGTTTTGTATCCCAAAAGCTCATCAAAATAATTATTTGTAATTACATCGATTATATGCGTGTATATCGCTTGCCAGTGTAGTTGTAACAATTTTTTAAAAAAATTAATGATTTTATCAACTAGTAGTTTTCTTCTTTTTGTTGTACTTACAGATTAATCACGTAATAATATCTTTGAATAATAAACTAAAAAACGGGAAACATTTTCATTGCGCTTGAAATATTAATAATTAAAAGGCAAAACGCATACTTTATATATAATATGTATATAACTAAGTAATAAATAATATTAAAAAATTAATTAAATCAATTATTACCGATTTGTACATCTTTAATATCTTTTAATACACATGAAAATTCTTTCCACAATCTTGAATATTACACGAAAAAAATGGTTTTGCTAAAGTATCTAAAAATTTAGCTAGATGCAGATCTGAAAATAATTTTGTTGCATTATCTTAAAATGATTATGTAGAACATTCAAACTGATTGCTAAAATTGTCAAAATTTTTTATTATTTTTTTATCAAATTTATATCATATTTTTATATTAAATTCTAACATATGACAAAAATGTAAATTAGTATACAAAATTAGTATACAAAATGTTAATCTAAAATGTTTTTTATTTCTTATTAAAATTTTTGTTCCGTACGGAAATTTAAATTGCATCTCGCTCCATTTGGTGTAACAATAACATAACATAAAAATCGCCCTTTCTGAGTTATTCGTACAGGAAAAAGGGTTGTTACATGTACTATTTACAGTTAAATCGACGATGCTTAAGCTTCACAAACTCGAGGGAACAGTTGTGTCGCTATTGTGCCATATCATTTAGTGAATTATGTGAGGTGCAATACTGTCTTAACTCAGTCAGTCTCAGTTGTCGTTGTAGTGAGAACATCGTAAAAGTTGCAATAAGAGTTACACGGTATTTTAAAATTCTCATAGAAAGTTATAAAAATTCCAAACTTTAAACCGTATCTCCTGAAAATTCACAATTTTTGAGTTATGTCATTGTTGCAGCAAATGAGCGGGATATTTTCTTTCAACTTGTCATGACAGTTATTATGATTATAATGCAAATGTCTTCTATACCACAAGATGCATATTTTGAACAATTAAATAAGAATTGTCGTTTATAAAATATATTTTGTTGTGATTAATGAATATTGTATCTCTACGTTATTATGCAATAAAAATCTTTATGTTACAAATTTTTATCTCTCTCTCTCTCTCTCTCTCTCTCTTTTTCTATTTCTTCCAAATTATATCATTTCTTTGAATTGTATCATTACATTTTTATATGTCAACTTAACGTTTTGTGTGTGTGTGTGTGTGTGTGTGTGTGTGTATTTATATCTTATTCAATATTTTATTGTATTAAGGTTTTTATAATTTCATATAGTGAATTTTTTACGTTAGTATTAAAAATAATATTGTTATATATACATACAATATTAGTATAGTTAAAAAAATACATAAACAATACAATAAATGTAATATTAAATATATTTACTTTGCATGGAGAAACACATAAAAAATTAATATCAGCGTCAATGTTTCAATAATTTTGCAGCACACATTTAGTGACGAGTCATTTTTTTTATTCATTAAAACGGATCGAATTTTATTATCAAACGCATTTGCGTAAGTGCTCCTATGAAGATATATCGCTATTATGAAAAAAAAAAAAACAGTATTATTTCGCATTAATGTAATTGCCAACAAATGAAATGACAAATTTAATAACAAGTATAACACTCATCAGTGTTAATTTGCGGTTGTGACGATCATGACTACCACGGTTCAACAAGCCTTTCGACCTCTTTTTATTACGTGCTTTATTATTGGTTTATGTGTCTATCCATTAACTAATCCAAAATCTGGGATTGTATATCTAAGCATTCTATATTCTGCGGCAGTGTGGTTTGTTTATGGCTATCTCTTTTACTACACGGTGAGGTCTCTTTCATTGGAAAAATTATTTCCCAATACCATTACGTTAATCGTTTTGGAAGTTACCATCATTACGACAATTACATCTGTGATTTTTAACATATATTACAACAAGGTATAATTAATGTGTTTAATCTTTTTACCAATTATATTTTTACATTTATACTAATTAGATTACACTGTAATGCTAAAGTAATTACGCACGTGTAATATTTACATCAATTGTCAATATAACATTTCTATTTAATATTAAAATGGTTTTATTAAGCAAGATTTTTTTAAGTTGTCTATATGTGTAAACGCATTTTATCACAGAAAAATAATATATACCATTATATTTAATATTACTTTTTGCTTCCTCATAGAGGAAGCTTTGTTTTCGTAAAAAAAATTTTTTTTTAGTTGCTTTTGCCAATGTGTTCAGAATGTTCTAAAACGTTGAAAAATCGCTATTTTAAAAAATGTCGGTATGTGTGTATGTATGTGTGTATGTGTGTATGTATGTATGTGCCAAATTTACCGAAATTTCTATAACTCCAGAACTGATCAACCAAATCTTAACCAATTATATATGAAATAGGGGTAGAAAAGACTGAAGAATATAATAGAATTATTAAAAATTGTTAATAATAAAGGGGTTACCGATTTTTTTTTATATATAATTCTTTAAGGCCGGTATTCATAGTCGGGTTTTATATTCAAGATCGTCTTAAGTATAGTTTTAAGGCGTCATCAGCCAATCAGAGGGCCGTATTAGCATCTTAAGACATATCACTTTCTCTATGAGAAAACCATGTGCAAATTTCTAATTTGCACCATTTTTTTATTTTACTTTTGTTGCATTTTGCTTATCTTACTTTTTTTGTATATATTAATTTCATTTTAGAGACTTCAAATGTGTATGAAGAGACTTACTGCAGTGGATGATTCTTTGAAAGAACTAGGTAGTCCAAAAATATATGAAAAAGTGCATATGTTGTCAAAACGAATAGCAATTGGATGGACTGTGTGGTGCTTTGCTCTGAATTTTAACGACACCACATCATGGCTGGTATTTCTGAAAGGAATAACTACTTCATGGGCATTTATTGTAGCTCATGTATATAATTATTGTATTAATGCTAGTATACTTATAAACTCAGTGTTCATCACTTTCTTATGGTTTGTACTTGTTTGTTTATCAAATTAACGCACTAATTATATATTCAAAACATTTTCCATTTTTAACGATAATGTATATATATTTTACACAATTTTTAAAATAATTAATAAAAGGCAATCATCACAAGAATGACAATTTTCGGCATTTGTAAAAATACCTATTCAAAAAAATAATTCTTAATTAATTTGTAAAAGTATATTTAAAAATTGATTCTAAAAAGTAATATATATTATAAGATACGTATACCTACTATTTTGTAAATTTCAATCTATATATATAAAGGAAGATGTCCTGACTGACTCACTCACTCACTCACTCACTCATCAACGCCCAGCCCAAACCCCTGAATCGAATTTATACCAAAAGTATATGAAATAGGGGTAGAATTTTCCGGGGAGTGCCACTATGTGTATAGTTTTTTGTTACCGATTTTCTGGAAACCGGTTTTTTTAATTTTTTTAATTTTTTGGGAAATAATTGGCCGAATCTCAAAGAATTATAGATCAAACAGGGGCAGAATTTTTCGAGGAGTGCTATAAAATGTATAATTTTTCGTTACCGATCTTTTTGAAAGCCGGTACGAAAATTTTTTCAATTTTTCGGGAATTTATTGACCGAATCTTAAAGAAGTAGTGGTAGAATTTTACGGGGAGTGCCATGATGTGTACAGTTTTTGTTACTGATCTTTTTGGAAACCGGTTTTTTTAATTTTTCCAATTTTTAGGGAAATAATTGATTGAATCTCAAAAAATTATATATGAAGAAGGAGTATAATTTCCCGAGGAGTGCTATAAAATGTAGATACTATTTTTTGTTACCGATCTTTTTGGAAACCGGTTCGGAATGACCGAATCTCAAAGAATTAAACATAAAGTAGGGGTTGAATTTCCCGGGGAGTGCTATAAAGTATATAATTTTTTGTTACCAATCTTTTAAAAACCGGTTTTTTTAATTTTTCCAATTTTTCGGGAAATAATTGATTGAATCTCAAAGAATTATACATGAAGTAAGGGTAGAATTTCCCGGGGAGTGCTATAAAATGTACTATTTTTTGTTATCGATCTTTTGGAAAATCGGTTCCGAATGACCGAATCTCAAAGAATTGTACATAAAGTAGGGGTTAAATTTCTCGGGGAGTGCTATAAAATATATAATTTTTCGTTACCGATCTTTTTGGAAAGGGCAATCTTATATATAAAACAAGAGAGAGAGACTATTTGCGTGTCTTAATACACATGTTCTCCGGGGCGAAGCCCGGCGGGGCATGCTAGTATAATTATAATTTCATAAATATAGAATTTATTATATATACAAGTTTTAAACCTTATTATCCAAAATTGGCTAATAGATCTGCCATAGAGGCTACAATTCAAAATATTATTTGGTGAAATAATATTTATAAAACAGGTACATCGGCACCAGGTTTGATGAAGTAAATCAACATATGCAAAATCTCTTGATAAAGAAAGAGCATTCACTAAGGAATACATGGAAGAAACCTACAATAATTGTTCATCAATGTACCTTGGGTACTGATAATTACAAGCGAGTGTTGTGGAGCTCAATGTAATTTAATACATATGCATATATTTACGTAGAATATTATTTTAATAGTATTATTTTAATAGTATCCTTTATAAAAATTTTTCACCGTTTTTGGACCGCGAGAACGGTCAGTTTGAGTAGTAAAAACGTGCATTTGGCAATGAGTAGGGGAGACCGTGGCTAAAAGTCACACGGGTAAGTTGCACAAAGCTTATATCTCACTTAATACATTGAATGGAATATTCTTCTTTATAGTGTAGGTTGCTCCTATCGTGTTAGTCGGGTGTACGAAATGGCTTGTTTCAAAAACATTGCACGAGATATTTACAAGCATTTTTTAAAAATTGGAGGTCGTGAGTAAATTTTTCTTGCTTCTATTTTTATTGTTCCGTTGGTTTTTGGAATTAATGGTCATAATTTCTTTTTGGTCATAAGAAATATTATAGTTTTAGATCATTTTTCCTGTATTTAGTTAACCGTCATTGCAACATAGTTTATAAATATAATCTTCTTTGTTCAAAATGACCATTCAGGGTAAGTTGTCTCAAATGAGATGGGATTCAATGTTTATGAGAATTATTTTTCTTTTATTTACTCAAAGTTTATGAAAGTATTTCAAAGTTTATTGAGAATTATTATTCTTTTATTTACTCAGTTTATAAAAGTATTTCAAAGTTTATTGAGAATTATTATTCTTTCATTTAGTCTAAGTTTATGAGAATTATATTACAAAGTTTATGAAAATTATTAATTTTTCGTTTAATTCACGCTGTAATATATTATTAAGTTAAATTTACCAAAAACTAGCACTAACTTTAATAAAATATTAAAACAGGAACTATTTCTCGTATGTTTCCTCTACATGAAAGATACATGACAATCAATCCAGAGTCATGTGACAACCAACCCTGAGTATGGGGTAAGTCGTCACATTTTCACGATCTTGCTTAGAATTAAATAACTTTTTTGTGTATAAATATATATAAGTCTAATATTTTTTTTCTTATACCTAAAGGATGTAGCTACACATTATAAAGTACTATACAATATTAAAAATTTTGCTAACATTTATTTAAAAATCATAATTTGAAAAGTGTAACAACCCGCCCCAGTCTCCCCTACGATCCGTTTTTGGGGTGCAAAGGGGCCTTCTTGCTTAAAAACGAGTGGTTAAAGCGGATTGCGTACGATTGCATACTCGCGTATACTCATCATGTAGACTGCGCGTGCTTGAGAGTGCAAGAAACGGACATAAAAATGATAAAACGGGCTAAAAACGGGCTAAAAACAATTTATATGAGGTGTAAAAGCGGTGAAATATTTTTGTAAGGGATATAACAAAAAACAATCAATTATAATTTGTAAAAACGATTTCTTTTTATCATTTTTAGTAATAAAATGTTTTTTAGTAATAAAAAATTGATTTGTCGACAGACATCTTCATTTAGAACTATGTCGCATTGCACGTGAATGGAATCTGGTGTTTGGAATTCAGATGACTACCGAAACAGCAACTTATTCATTATTTGGGACATCAATGTGCTTCTACTTATACAAATCGTTAATGCATCGAGAGCTAATACCAGTCAGCGTATGGTTTCGAATAGCTTTCTGGATGTTTATGTTTGTAGGAAAAGTGTATACTATAAATTACATTTGTGAAAATGTCTGTGTTAAGGTAAAAAAAATGTACAATACACTTTCAATATAAGAGAGTATACATATATTCAATATAAATCAATTATAAATTTTAGGCTAACAAAATTGACAAAATAATTAATGAATTGAATCTTCGATATGCTGACGTTTTGAAAGAGGTAAAAAATATTTTAATAGCAAAAGTAAATAAAGCAAATTATGTTAAATGACTCTTTATGTACAGATTTATCAGTTCAATTTGCAAACAATGCATCATCCGTTGGAGTTTACTGGAATGGGTTTCTTCCCCTTTGGTAACAAATTCCTCATAAAGGTTTATTTTTCATCTATTTTTACTATTAGGGGAGACCGGGGCTGACCGGGGCTAACTCGACACCGGGGCAAACTTGATACTAGGCTTTTTGCCAATTTAAATCTATCGTAGAAACTTGCCTTTCCTACTGTAAATGCGTCTTTATATGCCAGTATTATCAATTTGGAATTTGGTAACATTCTGAGTTATAGTGTAATTTTTAACGCGACATAAGCGTTTTTGATAGTAAAAAGTAATTTTTCTGATCTTTAGAAAATGGTCTACTCTTTCATCGAGCTTTCGGGCAAAACTAAGCGACGTACAGCAAAATTTCTTTAAGCAATTTTGTACCTGAAGGAACGCTCTTTAAATGTGTACCATTAAATTTGCTTGAAAATTTTAATTAATTGTTGAAAATTGCTTTTGAAAAAATTGTGTCAAGTTTACCCCGGTATTTTTCAATTTGAAAATTTGTCTTTGCGTCACTTTTCCTTTCCTGGAGGCAAAACTAAGCGACGTACAACAAAATTTCCTTAAGCAATTTTGTACCCGAAGGAACGCTTTAAATGTGTACCATTAAATTTGCTTGAAAATTTTAATTAATTGATGAAAATTGCCTTTGAAAAAATTGTGTCGAGTTAGCCCCGGTCTCCTCCACTTTATTTTTGCATGTTATATTTTACATACATTAGAGAAATTTATACCGTTTCTATAAGCTTATTGTTAAAGTTGTTATTAAAGTTATTACGTTTATCTTACATACGCATTATACTATTTAGCTCCATTTATTTTAGTCTTACAGCATATTTAAATATAATGCCAGTTTTACAAATAATAAAAATTAATTAAAAATTTATATTTTTTCTTAGTTCTGCGTAGCGATTGCAACGTTTTTGACCATCGTGATACAAATGTCGACGCCTGATTTACCCTATAAAGAATAATCCACCCTGCACTTTATATTAAGATTAGTATCCCAAAAGCTCATCAAAACAATTATTTGTAATCACATCGATTATATGTATGTATATCGCTTAAGCCAATGTAGTAATAATTTAAAAAAACAATTAATGATTCTACCAACCAGTAATTTTCTTCTTTTTGTTGTGCTTACAGATTAATCACGTAATAATATCTTTAAATGACGCATTATATAAAACGGAAAACATATTTATTACACTTAAAATATTAATAATTAAAGGGCAAAACGCATTCATTATATATAATTTGTATAATCAATTAAATAAATCAATTAATGTCGATTTATACACTTTTAGTACGTTTTAATATAGGTACTTTAATACACATGAAAATTATTTCAACAACAATGTTAAATATTAGTTTATTTATTTTATTAAGGGGGCATATACACCTAGAATGGTGTATGGAATGGTGTATGGAATTTTTGCAGTTTTTGTTTGCGTTTTCGCAATTTTCTTGAAGCTTAGGATCTGAAGAATATGTGGTGACAATTTCAAGTAAATATTCCAAGAAATAACGAAGTTATGGCAGAAAGAGTGCACGCCTTTGTTGGACGCGCGCCGCGCACGTTTCTCAAACTGGTACCCAAAACATCTCGAAAATCACTGAACCGATTACCTTGAATTTTTGTGTGCTTATTGTACATATAATTATCTAGTCTTTGTCATAGGATTTTTTTTTCATTGCTTACTTTTTGTTTTATGGGCATTTAAGAAAAAATTTTTCCTTAAAAAATTGCAACGTTAAATTTATATGTCCGCCATTTTGTCAAAAATTGATATTTTCAAAATCGGCTATGACAAAGACTAGATTATAGTATCTATTTTAAGAATCATTTTGGTTTTTTTGTTTTAGATGATTTTTCAAGAAATGGCAATGGGTACCATTTGCGGTAATGTTTTTGCGACGCTCCGAAAAAGATGTCACAACTTTTTTAATTTTGAAAATTTTTTAATAAAAAAATTCAAACATACTCTCGAAAGTACGTACTTTTTACTAGAAAAAAAATCCGACTCTAAAATTCAAACAGTTCCTCTAAAAAAAAATCCCCAAAATGACTTTTTTTTCCGCTCCTAGGCATATATGCCCCCTTAATGTGACATGCAATGTGATATCATTATTAGGATATGTGAGTTCATCGTGTTTCATTATGAATTATTCATATATAATACAAGATATAGATAATTTTCTTTGGCGCAATTACAGCAGTAGAATAAAAAGTAAGATGCGAAAATAATTGTAAATGTTTCGCATCGCAGATTTTATAATCTAGAAAGTTTTACCGTAAAATTTCACAAATTTCTACGCTCTAGTCGATTTATACCTCACATCAATAAAATTACATTGTTCTTCAAAAGAATAAAGAATAAATAAAAAGCAAATTTAATATAATTTTTACACTTCCAGAAATTCTAAAAATATTTCTTTTATGTTTCTCTTCTTTTCTTGCTATTGTTGCGACAAATTGATATTAAAAAATACTATT